ATGAACAATTTATTTATGATCCAAGATCTTTGAGTTAACTTTAGTTCTGATGTATGGGGGGTATGCATCAGCAATGAGTTAACTTTAGTTCTGATGTATGGGGGTATGCATCAGCAAGGCCAAAATGGATTGGGACACTGAAGTTTGGTTGTAGATGAGGTACATGGCCGTCTACTTATCTTGGTGTTTTTTGGGTGGAAATGCGAAACTCTTCTTATGGCAGCCTATTATTGAGAAGCATGACTCCATAGTTGGAAATATGCCTTTATTTCCAAAGGCAGAAGACATATCCTTATTCAAGCTATTCTTTCAAGTATGCATACTTATGAGCTCTGGTTGTTTAAATTACCAACTAAGGTCGTCAAAACTCTGGATAAACTTATCGAAGTTCTTCTTTGGAAAGGTTCCAACTGGGAGAAAACTAAGCTTCCTCAACTCTAGGGAGGTTTGGGTATTGGAGGTTTGGGTATTGGAGATTTCCAGTTTCAAAATATGACTCTTTTAGCTAAGTGGATTTGGAGATTTTTGCACGATACGGTGCCCTTTGGCGAAATACTATTGCTGGTAATATGAAATAAGTGGATAATTAATGGCCTGCAGATATTTAGAGAGCATCTTTTAAACTTCTATTTGCATTTTATTTGTTCGACCATTGAACTTGTGACTAACCTTGTTCAACGATGTCTCAAGAATGGGGCTAATACATCTATTGGGCCTGATTCCTATCTGAATTGTGGGGTTATTGCTACAACGCCTCCAAGGTTTTTCAGTTGTCTTTTAGCCCCAATATCACAGTTGCACAGGCTCAAATTAGTTCTCAAGCTGCCACAGGGCTTACATTTGCATCGGAATCTTCATGATTTAGGTGATTGAATGGTTTAGTGTCTCCTATCTTCTTTCACCAGTTATTTTAGGGTCTGCAGATGATTTCTGGATTTGGCCCTTGGATTCCACTAGAGTTTTTACAGACAAATCTAATGACTCATGGCGTGTGATGCGTTTTTCTCACTAAGAGCATCCTTCTTATCGCTTTATTCATTGTACCTTTGCTTCTCCCTTTCGGGAACCAGTGCTATAAGATTTTGGTTGGTCTATGGTTTTGCCAAACCACATATCAAGTATTCTAGCTTATTTTTGTGGGTCATCCCTTTCATGGTGCGGAAAAGACTTTCTGGTTGGCCATAAACTGGGTGTTCTTCTGGGGTGAAAGGGATACAAGAATTTTCAAGAACGTTTTCTCTACTTATGATAGCTTTTTGGATCTGTTTTATTTCATACTTTGTATTGGTTTAAACATTTACATCCATTTAGGGATTATAGTCTATCTTCTTTGATTTCCAATTGGAGATCTTTTATGTAATTCACCTTTTGGTGTTGTAAGCTCCTATTTATTTCATTCATCAATGGAGGTTGATTCACTTCTCAAAAAGTAAGTTGCGACTTGTGAGATACAGGAAAATTAGAATCATAACGGTAAATAAAATGATCCTTCCGAATTAAGAAAATGATGGGCGTATCAATTGTCACGACAAGAAAATCTCTTTTTTCATCATTCAACACACTTTTGGGAATCTGTTCATGGACGAATATCAATATACGATGCATTACTGAGATCAGAGACAAACGAATAGAGAAAGTAAGAACATTCTTGACTGATGAGGGAATAAATAAAACTTACCATCAGAACTCCTTAGCCAATCCAAAGCAATTGTTCCACCATCAGGTACACGAAATAACTGTCTGGGGTAAAATCATAGGTCTAATTTTATAAAATGCAAGAGAAGTGTTTAACAGAAAAAGAAAATTAATTCGCAGACGTTCCCGGTTATGCCATAGTGAATAGTGTGAGAACATGCCAAGATGATCCGATAAGATTATTAGGCGCTTATGAACAAGATTTTATTTATAGTATCGACAAAACAGAAAATTCGATACTTTTGTTTCTTTTTCCCCATTGAGGACTCTTTTCCATTTATATTCAGTCTTATAGAAAATCAGCACACATGTTAAAAGAAAATAGTGTTCATCTAGTTATCTTGATGTCATTCACAGTCACGTTATAAGCAGTTGAACGTTAGCTGTCCCGGAAAGTGATTATGATAAAATAGGTACAGTATAATCCTTGAAATCACCCTTTGGCTAAGGCCTTGACCAATATCTTTTCCATTTCTTTTTGCTTTCTTTCATCCTTCCTTTATTCATATTCTTCAACTTTTTCTTTTTGTTAAAGCCTAAGAGCATCCAAAATAAATGCGAACGGAGATGAAACGAGGAGTGAAAGCAGACCTTTTATAGGAGACAGGAGGAGAACTCCCAAAAATGCTGAGGAAAATAGTCTGCAAATGAGGACTGCAAAGCCATGGAGTTGGGGAGTACCTGCTCCAAAGCAAATCAATAGCATTAAGTAAAGGAGTTAAGAGGGAGGGATCCAGAGAAGAGGAGCAAACAATCGGAATGGCGAAGGAAGAGAAACCTAAAATGCAAAGAATAACAAGAAAAACCTGCCATGAAGAATCCGGCACTTGGAAACAACGGATTGATAGAAATCGGGGTCGGATGCAGTGATGCAAACGCGGTCGCCTCGGAAGGCGCGGATGAAGTCGTGAAGAAAATGAATCTCGAAGAAATTGTAGAGGAAGACGAGGAAGATGAGGAGGAGCGCAGCGAGAAGGTGAGAGAGGGGAATGAGAGAGAGAGCTGTGAAGAGAAGTTGATAGGGCGAAAGTGGATTGGAGGTGTCGGAGACGGAGCCGGAGCCGGAGCCGGAGCCGGAGGAATCCATGAGAGGCGGAGGCCTGGAAGTGGATTAGAGATCGGAGACCCGGGAAGAAGAAAATCAAGAGACCAGAGATTCATCTTCGCTCCTTAGCTGTGTAATTATAAAGAAAGCGAGGGCGGAGGCAGACAAGAGAATTGGTCGAAATGTTCCCAGCCGTGGCTGCGTGTGCGTGGTGGATGCTGCACGCAAATGGGAGCTTCCAAATCAAATTTAGTTCGCTATTTGCTTAATTTGACGCAATTAATAAATTAATAATTTACACTTTTATATTAAAAATATTTTTTAATTTTTAAATTTCTAAAAGGTCAAGAAAACTTTTAATAAAATCTAAATCTAAATATATATATATATATATATAATTTCTTTCTACACACGTTTTAATGTTACACTTAAAAGTTCAGAATATTTTTTAATTGGGGTAATAATGGTAAAAATATTTTTATTTTTTCTTAAACAAGTTTTTTTTTAATTAGTTTATTAATGAAAATTTTTAAATAAAATATTAACAATTTGGAGTATTTTTGAATTTTTTTTCTTTTTTTTTTAGTACCACCATGGATATATTCTTTGAAAGGTAATATTATTGGAACTTTTGAAAATTTATGTGTATTTTTTAGATCAATTGAATATTTTTATTAATCTGAACAAATATTTATGAATATAGATTTTTCAATAAATGCATTTAATTTAATTTAAAGATAAATCTTTTAATAAATAAGTAGGTCTTTAACAAGTTGAGTTTATGTTTGGACTAACAATTTAATTAGTAAATATAAACAATTATAACTAATGAACGTATATCAAATCTCGTTATTGCAACTTAATCAATTGATTTGGGTGTTTGACCATAATTAATTAAGGATATATATATATATATATTATTATTTTTTGGTAATACGAGTAAAAGAATAATAAATAAACTGAATCACATCTAAATAAGAGCGATTTGAGGAAGTTACTATATGTATCAATAGATGCACATTATTTTTCAATAGTACAATCATAATCACTCTAAAATTAAACGTTATTTGTAAATAACTCGTGTTTTCGTAGAAATGAGAAGTGAGTAAAGTGATCATGTAGTTGGAGATGCAAGAGAATGCCGGTTATCAAATGCTAAATTAAGATTCTGAATGAAAGGGGTTACATTTTTGGTCCCTTTATTAACATAAAAAAATGCTAAATTAATAAAAATATCTTTTAGAAATAATTAATAGTTTATTTTTAAATATCTATTAACTTTGTTTGAATGATGGACTAAAAACCACTTTTTTTTTTACTTAAAAGAATTATAATTCTTTTTAAAAGTCGAAAGATGTCGTTATCATTAGTATATAGATAGAACCGTTAATGTCATATTTCAAAAATATCGAATAACTTTATATAAGGTTTAGATAGTGGGTACCCAATTCATATATTGATAATAATATTTTTTGTACTACATTTGAAAGGTTAAGGATATTAATGCTACTTTTAAAATTTTATGAGTATTAAACATGTACTGATTATAAGGTATTAATAGATATTAATAAAACTTTGAAGGGTATTTTTGAAACACGGAAGAAAATTAAGGATGTTTTTTAAACAAAATACTAATATAGTAACAATATTTTTATTTTTTTTATTAAAGTTTTAGGGTATTATTGAAACTTGTGATAGTTTAAAGGTATTTTTGGAACAAAATACGAAATTTATGGATATTTTTTACTAATTTAGCTTAAGAGTGATACAAAAATGAAAACTAGTTTAATTATTTTAAATTACTTTAACAACCATCGTATTTGAGAGGTTTTACTCTAATAATGCCTCGTGCTCAAGATTAAGACTATAATTTTTAACATTTTTGATATTTACCTACTTATTTTGAAGTGTTTCTAAGAGTGAAAACTATTCCCACGAACCATACAGAGGATGCGATGATGTAACTCACATGCTCCGTAAGAAAAATTTATGTAGATCACACCATATTAATGGTTCCAAACTAAAGAATTACTCTAAAATAAGCACAACTTCAAAGTTTTTACAAATTGAGCCACAAAAAAGAAAAGTGCATCGTATTAATATAGGTAACAACTCTGCATTCTTTTTAAATCTTCTTTTAACGATTATATCCTTAAGATCAATATCTATCCCGTGTAGTTCATACGAGAGTTTTCCGCTAGAGTTATGGATACAAATTGACACAACAACATATCTATAAAAATAGAAATATGGCATCACGTCCACAAAATCATAATCTACTTGGTTAATGCATCAACTTTTATTCATTATCCATATTTTTCACATAAAAATTCAAGCATTTTTGTACATAACGCAACATATTTCTACAAATTTCTCTTCCATCCCTGTGAGTAGCATCATAATGTTAAGATCAGAGCAGCAACAAGTTTGAATGAACTAGAGAGTGAGCTAGAAGAGTACTCCAAAACGGCAAAGGAAAGTAAGTGGGGGTGGACTGTGTGGAGGCAGAGGAGACCACAGCGCATATTTCCAATTATACCTCAGCTGCTTTGTTTTGTACTCCTCAGAATCTCTGCCTTCCATTTCAACCCATCACCCATCATTAACCCCACAAAAACAAAAAATAAAGGAAGAGAAAACAACTCAGCCAGCTTTATTTTGACCATGTAATGTAACAATGCGTATAGTTAGCCTCTTAAGTTCTTATGTACACTAACTAACTAATACACATACCTTCCCCTTGGCTTCTCCCCCATCAAAATTATCTTCAAAATCCCTACCTTCAACAAATCATGTCTGTCTTGTCTTGATGAGTTAAGAGATATAATCCCCGGCCGCCTGTCCCTATCATTGTGGATGGCTTATCCAGGGATTTGCAAAATAGTACAAAACTGTACCTGCCATCCTTTGTTGTTGTCTTGTGTCCCTACCTTCTTCAACCTGATGATATCACAACGAAAACATCATCAAGAGACCATTTTCGCTGCTCAGATTTCTGTGGTGGATTGATTATGGCGTTCTCCGAAATTCCAATCCTGTAGCCTATCACTATTTCTCGTCTCTGTCGCCCCCTAATCATTATGTCGTAAAAACAGAGCTCTTCCTGGTCAACTAAATAAAATTCCGCCGGTCGAATACACATTTCATTGCCCTGCAATCACACATACATCATCATTCATAATCACCGAAAAAAGAAAAGAAAAGAAAAGAAAAGAAAAGAAAAGAATCTATCTTTGAATCTAGTAATCCATCAGAATATTTCACTGAAGTTCCAGGATGCTCATTAAATTAGATAAAACAAATACCTCTTCTGCAAATAGTTCCTCAAGGACACGATTAATCTGCTGGTCTTCCGCCACCATAGCAAGTGCCATACTTACCAATTCATTGGACAACACATAATCACTGATTCTAGAAACTGATACCAGATTTCTGGTCCTTGAATCCAGGATTTCACTAATTATTATTGATCTGTCTGAGGCTTGCTGCATTTCTCGAATCCACGAGTGGTGAGAAAACCCAGCAAGCCGCAAGGACGTTGAAGTTAGCTTTACATCTTTGTTCGGAAGCCTCTTCGACTGCAATATGACAAGGTTGGCAGCATTTTACCTTATGTATCCCAGGAATTCCAACATATAGTTCCAATTCAACTTAATAGAAACCAACTCATATACCAAGACTATTTATTTTATTATTTCATTGTGTGCTTCAGGAAAAAAGTTTTGGAACGGTGATAATACTTACCTGTATGTCTCGAATAAGGAGAAGAGTGGCAAGAGAACGTGAATCCGAATGCACAACAGAGTCCTCCAAGGATTCATCTGCGAGAATTAGTATCTGTTTCATATAGTGTTAGAATCATTCGTTAAAGTTGAAGAATCTTCTAGCTTTGAAGTGGTCGTAATTAGATCAGAGATTTCAAGATAAACTGTGAATGAAAATGGTAACAGAACTTACAGAATCAAATGTTTCAAGTGGAAGTGATTCTAAATGTCTTCTAATGACAGCATTTCCCTGGCGATGGACAAGTTTGATATTTACTAGACTAGAAATATCAAGTCCGCCATCAATAAGCTTTTTCTCTCTCTCTGTTACAAGAACTTCATTAAACATCCACAGCTCTGAACCAGGAGCGAGGATTGCCTCTAGAACCTGAGATGGGATATACATATTTGATACGGTAAGACTTCAGTAAGTAATTATTCTATCATAGACTCACAGTTGAACACACCTATTCTTCAGGATACCAAATCAGAGATGGAAGTTTATAAGCAATATACCATAATCATATCATCTATATCACGGCGCCAACCACAAAACAATATCTTTTCGGGATATTTTGGAGGGTCGATAATCTTTTGGAAGAATGGCCTGCGCACCTGAGGAGTAAGGGCCAAAAAATTTGAGCGTGAAATCTAAGATGACAATCGTGCTGCAAATTATTCAACTAGTTAAGATGGAGACATCAATTTATATTTATTTTAGGTTCAAGCTGATTCTAGTGTGCTCAGTAACAAGTTGACATATCAAGTTAAAAGATTTATTTGTCTAAGCTGAGTATAGCTTGGCAATTAAGACATTTTACTTCTTCTAAGAGGTTGTAGGTTTGAATTGCTACCCCACCCGTACATGATATAATATTCTAAAATAAAAAAAGTCATCACTCGAAGTAAGCAATTACCGGACAAGGACCTTTTCAACTATGAGAATAAAAATATGGACTTCCAAAGACCACCAAATGTTTAAACTACAAGTAGAGATTGCATATTTCCAACTTGCAATGAGATTAATTCAGCCATTTCTTGTTGAATAATTACGTATGACAATTAATACCATAATTCCATTTTAAGCACCACTTGTTTATCTAGAGTAAGAAGCAATGAACTAGTAATTTTTGGGAGTCGAGATAAAGAGAGGTGGTGGTACTACTCTCCAAAAGGATAGTAGCCATCCACGGTAATGCTTCTACGAATTCTGGAGGATGAATACCATAAACGGGAAAGTAGAACAATAAATATAAGTTCTATGATTATCTAGGCGGCATATTATCTTATTGACGGTAAAAAAAGGGGCTGTAAAGCTTTAATGACTTGAAGTTAGAATAACCTCAGGAATTGGCCCCGGAGCATAGGTGTCATCATCCTCAGCTATAACAAGGACTTCATCCCCCTCCTTTAAAATGTAGTTATCATCTGGATTTAAGATTATCTTTCCACCATCTGCGGCAACCTTAACTCCACAAGGAATAGCATCAGGAAATGAAATCAGTACATCTCCAAATCGTTGTCCATCTAATTGAGGCCATCTTTGGATGTAGAATTCTGAATTCTCAAACCCCAAGATATCTTCCCATATCTAGCCAAGTAAAGAAAAAGAGAATATAAGCACAGTCAATTAATTTGTGAATCAACAACAAAATAATTACATATGAGCAGGGAGCAAGAGACAGTAAAATAATAAAACGTAGGAATATATGTGAGTTTGGCTACTAGGGGTTTATTTGTATTATTTGGAGTTTATTAGGGGAGTAGTGGTTATGAATATGTTTGAGGTTGGAGAGAGGTAGGAAAATATTAGGTGAGGTAAGAGAGAGAGAGAGAGAGAAAGAGAGAGTCGTCTCAGAATGCTATGATCCTTTGTATTTCCTTTTGTCAACAGTAAAAAAACAAGCCATTATTTCCTCATGTTCCACTTTAATTTGTAAGGATGATCTAATGAGGGGTGGGGTGGGGTGTTTGAGGATGCAGATCAGCAGACAACTCAGATAAAAAATGAACTTGAAACACGAGGCTACGACACTTAGACAAGGTCAATGTCATATAACCTGTAAATTTTAACGATATTCCAACATTTTCTAATGGTGGATGGCTAAATAAGACACCAAAGATAATATTCTAAAAAGTGTATCTTAACCTGTGCAAGTCCCGGTTGCAGAGCACATTGTATCATTAAGCGTCCAATAACATCATGAGCAACAACCGTTTCAATAACTCCACCTCCAACAAGCTTTACCAGAGGTTCATTGTCGAGGTCGCTCATCTCAACAACTACATGGCCCCTCAAACCTTCCTTCACTCCAGTGAGGCTGAGCACAACCCTCAAAGCACGTGCATCACTCTGGAAAGAGGGGTACCGATGATTTATCTACTGATTTACAAAAGATAAAACAAGCATCATAGAACATTAATAATATAAAACCTGATCTGCATTCTCATCCGTTGCCAAAACAATGATAGCACGTGCCTTAGAGACAGAGACCTGTTAAGTTATAATGAATACCATATCAATTCCTCTTAAGGTTTATAAAAGAAATCTGAAGCTTATAAGCAGAGCTGAATTTACCTTCTTCAAGTCGGCAAGTATAAGAGGACTGCCACTCCTACAAATGACAGAGGTCCCCATGAAATCAAATTCTAGCTTTGCTATATCCATCTCCATTTCCTCTTTGTCTCTTTCAGCAAGAACAACAACTACCCCTCCACCAACGCTCTTATTTGCAATTGCTAATTGCTTCAAAAGTGAACCCTAAAACAAGATAACCGCTCCATGATTTCTCGATATTCTATGAGTAAGTGTACATTCATTGTCACACCAATACGTCTTAAATAAATCAAAATCTATATGATGATCTGACACTCCAAATGAGAATAAAAATAAATTGCTTGTATCTAATTGTTAGAAAAAACATGTACGGAATAGAGAACAAAAAACAAAATGAAAAAATCTTAAATCAATGTCTACTAGTGACACGTCTACTGACTTCTTGATACACAGGTAGCTTACCAATTTATCACTCCATCCAAGAATGAGAATGTGGTTTCTTTCAATGACTTCACTCTTTCCTTTCCGCAGTGAGTCAACTTTCTCTGAAATAGCGTCAGAAACAAGCCCAAGCATCATTGCAAAAATCAGCATACCCCCTGCGCTTATAGACACAGAAACAATTCTGGGCCCAATGCCAACCCTGTCAGCATGATTTCCCGAGTCGGCCACAAATGTCCATGAAAGCCAGAGAGCTTCAGCAAAGCTACCATCACTAACAGCATATAATGCCAATCCTCCAAATCCTATAAGAAATACAGTGGCAAAAAGAAGTGCAAGCAGCTTTGCATAAGGATAGATGGAGAAACACACATCGACCACATATGCAATTCTCTTGTTCAAAGGAACCACGTCTTTGCTATTTTGAGTTCTTTCTGAAAAGTTCTTAATCCGGGGAAGGTAATCAAGATACTTGTACAATATGAACGGCATAACAAGTGTGCACACTACAGTATACAGAGCTACAGATCGACTGTCAGCATTAAAAAAATTAAATGTCGAATTGTTATCTCCTGGTACTGACATTACCCAGGTTGCACTGATAACGTTTTCATCACTACAGAGTTGATGAAGGCGAGATTTCTCTCCCTGCAAGAATGTATAATGAATTAAAAAAACTGGATACATATACTGAAATGGAAAATAAAACATTAATCGAGTCTGAAATATACCTCAAGTTTCGTAACTTTCTTTTGCAGATAAACTGCATAGAATCCCATGAACATACAAGCGATAATGGGCTGCAAAAAGGTATTCGGTCATGATATCAATCACTTTGAAACTAAGCCGCTGAAGCTCCATGAAAATCAAAATCAATCATTTCAGAGAAACAAAAGGTAAATTTTCACAGGTATTATAGCTCTGATACCTATTTCAAAAAAGAGAACTGATTTATTTGCTTCCATATCAAATATACATGAAAACAACAATAAGAATAACTTCTGAATAAGATCTGATGCAATACAATAATGAGATTCACTTTTACAAGATACGCATAAAGAGAATTATAGCCATTAACTTATAAGGTAGCCGTAGACTTAAAGTGGGATTACTGTCTTTCCATTCTGATATCTTTCTTGCTTGAGGATGTCCTACTTTAATGTGCAAATTTTCTCCCCTTTCTAAAACAATTTTGTTAGAGAATCTGAAATAGCTACTTTTTTGTAGTTATCAAGTGCCACAGCACTGTTGTATGGTTTTTTTACCTTAAGACGACACTCTGCTTGATCTATGAAGAAGGTATACACATCCAAGAAAGGTTTGTTATTGGACAAAAAAGTTACATAACTATTACTTCTAAGCGAAAGTATATACTCATATATTCATCTGTACACGCTTACACATAAATACTAAAATAAATACAGATAATAGCCATAATAGCAAGAAATGCATGCATTCTACTCATTTCCAAAGCCTAATGGCACCCTTTATTTCCAATTTCTGATAAATGTGTCTGTATAAATATATATTGAACAGTGGGTGGAAGAACAGTTCTTGGAATTCTGTCATCCTGCTTTCTGCAATCGAATTATTAATAAGCAGTATTGGCGCGGAGATTTTTCTTTGCCTAGGTCAGTTAATCTTTATATTTGTCACGATTACTTCATAAATGATGCAAAACTTATTTGGAATGATGAACTAAGGAGGAAACCGCCAGTATCTGCGCTCTATTTTGTAATTGTGAATTGCAAACGAAATTGTTTGACGTTGTGGTGGCAATGATGATACGAGTTTTTTTTTTTTTTTTGGGAAGCGTGAAAATGAAGATTTAGACATGCAATTCGATTTGCTCTGGTTTCGAGAAAGCTGAATCGAGGTAAAAGCAAGCTAAAAGGAGAGAAAATCAAAACACAAGAAGAAAATAGATTGACTGACCAAGTAGTGCATTAAGGAATGCGTAGGTTTCAAAAATCTCCTCATACTGGATTGAGACGCCGAATCGGGTCTGCCAATCAGCTTGACCGGCTTCTCTTGCTTCTTTGATTCTTGCACCTTCGACGGAGGTGCTTTTGGGGGCGACTGTTCCGCCACCGCACCATGCACCCGATTCGAACCAAGGCGACGATTGAAGGAGGAGGCGGTGGACAGGTCCTGGTTGGCGTGCTTGGTGGCCTTGAACGTGAGTCTGGGCTTGGAAGCATAGGGACCAAGGCAGGAGGGGAAAATATAATCCCTATTGAAGAACTGGGCGCCGTCAGTGACAGGGGCAGAATCGTTGTCGATGGAGAGGCGAAGATCAGTAGGTTGACGGAAAGAAGAAGCAGAAAGCGGAGCAGTTGAAACACGGCGGACGGCGGGGAAGTGAGGCGTCTGGGAAGCATCGACGGCGATGGTCTTCGATCGCTTCAGAAGCGGTGGCGAATCGGGTTTGATAGGGCTCGCATTCGGACGCACTGTAACAGTGGAATCATCATTGTCGCCTGCCATTAACACAGAGTGAGAGAAAAATGGATATTTGATTTGGGGGCAAAAGCAGCGGAATCTGGGTGTCCCGGCTTCCCTCCGCTTAAGGAATTTTGGTGGGTGGTCGGGTCAATCAGGGCCGTCCAGGATGACCCACATCTGACGTGTAAAGGCATCATCAGATCTGGTTGAGGGCTTCACCTGCCATCTTCATCTTCCGTCAACTCCTCGATTTTCACTGGAAGAGTGAAATAAGATTTGCTGTGGACGGCGGCTCAAAGTAATTGAATTCTATGTGCGTTGGGCGTTACTGACCGGAGTTCTGAAGCTGCGGAGTAAGAGAACCGCCGGCGGCAGTGAGAGGGAAAAAAGGTGCGCCGTATGATTCAATCTCTCTCTCTCACTCTCTCTGCCTTTTCGTTAGTTCGTTTTTTTCTGTTGTGTTTCAGGTTTTGCTGATTTCTTTCTATGACTCTGATACTTTTCCCGAGAGATTCCATTATGGATCGCGCACTGTTTCATCTACCGATACTAATCTTCTCTGTTTTTTTTGCCATTAGGAGACTTGATGCGACCAAGGATTATAGTGTATCATCTAATACATCATATAATGTGTGCACTGAAGAGGAAACGAGACATAAGAAAGACGGACAATAAGTAGACATGAGCATCACAAATAGACTTGTTGAAGGGTTGGGTAGGGCCCAGGCCTTAACCTTGAAAGTCAGGATTCCGAAGGGAATTTGGACATGCGGTTTTGGGGTCAAGGGCGTTCATATGAAATATGAATGCGCCAGATTTGGTGTTAATCGACTCTGAACGGATGCTCTATGACACCGTATGTCCGCTTGCCAAAATCATGTCTACACCCACCAAATCATGTATTCTAGAGGGAGACATGGTGTCAGCTCTCCACCACTTTTGGGCCCAGTGGCCTAAGTGAGATACCTTGGGCACATGCGTGTGTCACAACAAAAGCGAACATTTCAAAAACCAGTATCTTGAGCGACTTTCTTTAAAATGGGGTTTCAAGGACAATACCAGGTGGCACAAGTGTGCCGATATCGCGTCCTTACCCATGTGATAGAAGTTGGATTATACACCCGTACGGAGTCCGAAGATGACATGACATGGACACAAGATGGCCAAGGCCTTGATAGAACCATAATGGATGAATGTTTGAGATGCCTCGATGTTATGAACAACACGTGAGCCTGTTCTCGATGGCATGACCAAGTGAGATGCGATGGCCAACGACACTCCACAACTTGGGATGACATCAAGGCATATGGGTCATGTTCATTGGGAACTAAAATGATGTTGGATACAAAGTTGCATTGAGAGACCTTGACTTCGAATAGAGTCAAGATCGAACTAAATGACTTGACCTAATGTAGAGGCAAGTTGGCTGTGTGTGCAGCTACCATTGCTATTTTAGGTTGTAGTTAGTATGTGCAGCCACTTTTGCAAAAGCGAAAGATTTGTTCTTTCTGTGAGATCACAGCTGAGATGCCAAGACATATTCAAGTATCGCATCTATATAGTGATGCAGTGTTGGGCTAAACTTGTGGCATTGAGAATAATGAGCTGAGCTGCCAGATATATTAATTGACATTTATTGCTTATTCATTCCTTTATGGTTATTTTACGCCCCTTTGTTTTGCTTTATTATAGTAACATGAATAAGGTTCCATCTGTTTTTTTGTTCAGGAAGTCCTGGCAGCGTGGATTCATCATCAAATGATGATGATGATTCACTAGACAATGGCCTAGACACCGAGGACGAAACAGGAGACAAGGTGAAGATGGTGAAGGAAGGGTCGAGGTCGAGGGAGGATCACAGTAGACTGTCGAAATCAACAATGGAGCAATTAGCAAACTCAAGCTTACAGACCGACTGTTGCTACGTTTGATGGCAGGAGGTAGAAGAAAAACAGAGGAAGAAACTAAAGGCATGGGAGTGATGTCCCACGTTGGTTGGTAGTAGGTAGATGCGTTTTAAAGCCTTGAGGGAAAGCTCGAAAAGGAAAGCCTAAAGAGGACTATCTGCTAGCGGTAGATCTGAGCCGTTACAAATAGTGTCAGAGCCAAACACCGGACGATGTGCCAGCCTTCTCGCTGTACCCCAAAGGGGGTAGACACGAGGCAGTGTGCTAATAAGGACGCTAGGAAAGAGTGCTAACGAGGACGCTGGGCCCCGAAGGGGGTGGATTGTGACGTCCCACATTGGTTGGGGAGGAGAACAAAAAACCATTTATAAGGGTGTAGAAAAGACGCGTTTTAAAACTTTGTGGGAAAGCCTAAAGGGAAAGCCCAAAAAAAACAATATCCACCCGCGGTAGTAGGCCGTTATAAGTTGAGCATTAAAAGTCCCATTCATATGACAAAATTGAGTGATCATAAAAAGGATAAGAAATCCGTACAGAATGGGATGGGGATGGGGTTCAGCTCAACCATAGATTTTCGAATGTCAACAATAAGGAGAGTTGCATTGGCAATCAATATAAATAAATAACATTGGAAGTGAAAAGAAAGGAACCTCCGGTTTCATTCACTGGGCGCTGGCAGTGGCGGCGGTAGATCATATTTGACATGTCCAAGGTAGAGTCCACAAGCAGGAGCCATCGGACTTGCTGAACTCACATTCTTCGCTTCCAAGATTCTTTCTACTGCAGCAAATAACACAGAAGACCATATTACTGTTAGCTAGCTACCTTCAAACGGCCATGTTCTATTGTATATGTTGCAGTCCAACCACCTACCATCTCCTACTGTTAGATCTCCGGTTCCGACCACTTTAAGAACGCCAACCATCAGTCTCACCTAAGAAATATTCGAGTCCAGAATAACTAATCAATCAATCTCGTAAACCCTTTTCTCCGTTACTAGAAAAGAAACAGTTTCTTAGTGTTGGTTATGTTTACCTGATGATAGAGAAACGAGCGTGCCCGTGCTGTCACAACGAAACAACGATGCCTTCTCCTGATACCAAATCCAACCTCGTAACTTTCAGAATGTAGCACTTCATTCTCACCTTCTTCTTTGCCCTGCCTTTGCTTTCGTTCCATTGACGATGGAAAATAAGGCGTTGAAATCACCTCACAAACGTCTAGTTCATCAAGAGTTCTCATTGGGGAGTTTGCCTGCACTGCACATCGAAACTAATTTACATTAAACCGTACACAGGTTCGTCCCCCGACCACGCCCTGGCTTTGTTACAAATATAATGTATAATAAGCTGGGAACATAAATAGTTTTAGTATTAAGTGACCTGACAACCAGCAGCCCTGAAGGAGCTAAAGTCATGATGCCCAACAAGCACTTTGCATGCCTCCTGAATTTATACATTCCAATAATGTTGCATCAGTTCCCGAATGTAATACGAAATCGACGTGATCTCCAGCATTGCACTGTTAATTGTTCATACCTGCATTGCTCCAATATTCAGTATCTCGGGCACGTGCCATACTCGATCCTTGTCAAAGCTTGACAAAGTTTCTGGCCCAGAAACTAACCGATAAAAGTATCTGAAAATGTTTCATGAGATACAAAAAGTTGTGTTATGTACGTATGGACAATTAATTCTACTGTCTAATAGGCAATGATGGTATCAACTACTAAAGCATGGATGGACGATACTCACGTACGCTCTTGAGCTTTATATCTAGCATGATAATCATTAGGAACACTTCGAACATCAACTACCGTAACATCACCGTCATTTTTCTGGAATCAAAACAGACACAGATACCTTTCATCATTTTCTCTGTCCCATACAATAAAAAGCAAAGGCTCAAGCTGGAAAAAGGAAGATTCTTCTTGGGAGCTCAGTTGAGATCCCACATCGGTTGGAGAGGGGAGCGAAACTATAATGACCCAGGCTCACCGCTAGCAGATATTGTCCTCTTTGAGCTTTCCCTTTCGGCCTTCCCCTCAAGGCTTTAAAACGCGTCTGCTATGAGAAGGTTTCCACATCCTTATAAAGGGTGTTTTATTCTTCTCCCCAACCAATGTGGGACACCGCAATCCACACCCTTCGGGACCTAGCGTCCACGCTGGTACTCTTTTCTTCCTCTAATTGATGTGAGACCCCCGCCAAATCCACTCCCTTTTGGGGCCTAGTGTGACACATCGCCTCGGGGGAATAACCTCCTCACTGGCACATGGTCCGGTGTCTGGCTCTGATACCATTTGTAATGACCCGACTTATCTTATAAGTAGAGATCAGGGCCGTTACCAAAAAAAATTTGATTTATTTAAAAATTAATGAAAACTATGCAAAAACAATCATTTATTAAAATCAGGTGCAGGTGCAGGTACCCCTTTAAAAGTTAAAAACATGAGGCCTAAAAATGTTTAAGGTGGAGGTTCCCCTTTAAAAGGTTATAAACATGTGGCCTAAAAAAGTTTAAACAACGTAGTAAATTAAAATCAAAAGGTAATGTATTGTGACCACATAGTTCCCATAAACTAGGCGTCCACAAACATAATTTAAATTAATAAACAAAAGTGCGGAAACGTCTATCTATCAAAATAAAATTTCAAGAAACATAAATTCCTTGAGTCGCCCCATTACTGACTTTGGCATCCCACTCGTCACCTTCGTGCCACAGCTTCGCCTGAAAACTATTTTAAAAACAGGAATACTCAGTAAGGAACTCCTCTATTGGGGTCAAATACATAAATCGTCGTAAGGCGATCAACCAAATTCGAGGGACCCTAGTGGTTAATCATCCGAAACACGCAGCAGGTGATCATTGCCACAAGAAAATCAACGCCCATCTTTACTCCTTAAAATGATTATCCTTGGCTAGTTACTTGAAACACACAGCGTGTAACCATTACCGAGGAAATCAACATCCCTCCTTATTTCCTTAACATGACTATCGACAGCTGGTATCCAAACACACGGCGTGTAACCCTTACCTTGATAGTCATTTTCTACAAATCCTTGGCTAGTTACTTGAAACACACAACGTGTAACCATTACCGAGAAAATCAACATCCCTCCTTATTTCCTTAACATGACTATCGACGGCTGGTTACCCGAAACACACGGCATGTAACCCTTACCTTGATAGTCATTTTCTACAATCATCACCAAAGGGTTGGAACCAACCTCTACGTGGACAGCAGCTTGATCTAAGTCGGAGCGAACCAATAGCTGTAGGAATGATTAGGAAATGAGCACTCTAGGTAAGGGACCCTCCGGTTGAAACTAAATGTTTTGTTTTTGAAAAATGGTCGAACAGGTTTGTCACATGGTTGTGTGCTTTGTAATCTGTCACATGGTTGTGTGCTTTGTAATCTGATTAGTTGTGTGCTGTGTGTTGTGTGTTTTGTTGGTTGTGTGCAGTGTAATTGGTTGGTGGGCGATAAATATTAGGTAATTGATGACGGTATAAACTGTTGAATGTGTGTAATTGTATTTGATGATTGGGTGGACAATAAATATTGGGTGTTGAATGTGTGTAATTGTATTTGATTATTGGGTGGACAATAAATATTAGGTAATTGATGACTATTAAACACGGTATAAACTGTTGAATGTGTGTAGTTGTATTTGATGATTGGGTTCGATGTGAGTTGTATGACACAATATACGTGGGTTCATGAAATCCAACGTTGTGAGTTGTATGACACAATATACATGGGTTCATGAAATCCAACGTTGTGAGTTGTATGACACAATATACATGGGTTCATGAAATCCAACGTTTTACGTTTTAGGACCTATTACATGCATATTATGTTTGTTGGTGTCGATGTTAAGGGGCTTGTGGTAATAGTTAGTTTCGGGTAAGTAGCCACTAATAGTCACCTTCGGTGATGATTGTAGAAAATGACTATCAAGGTAAGGGTTAAACGCTGTGTGTTTCGAGTAACCAGCCGTCGATGGTCATTTTAAGGAAATAAGGTCGTCGATGGTCATTTTAAGGAAATAAGGTCGTCGATGGTCATTTTAAGGAAATAAGGAGGGATGCTGATTTCCTCGTGGTAATGGTTACATGTGTTTCGAGTAATCAGCGAGGGTTAAATCATTTTAAGGAGTAAAGGTGGGCGTTGATTTTCTTGTGGCAATAATCACCCGCTGCGTCTTTCGGGTGATTAACTACTAAGGTCCCTCGATTTTGGTTGATCGCCTTGTGACGATTTATGTATTTGACTCCAATAGGGGAGTTCCTTACGAACGAGTATTTTAATACTCACACTGTTTTTAAAACTGTGGCATGGAGGTGACGAGTGGGATGCCAAAGTCAGTCATGAGGCGCAGAGTTTATGTTTATTATAATTTTAGTTTGATGGATAGATGTTTCCACACTTTTGTTTATTAATTTAAATTATGTTTGTGGACGCCTAGTTATGGGAACCAGACAGTCACACCAGATTACCTTTTAATTTTAATTTCCTACATTGTTTGAACATTTTTAGACATGTTTTTAACCTTTTAAAGGGTACCCGCACCTTATTTTAATAAACATCGTTTTTGCATAGTTTTCATTAATTTTTAAATAAATCAAATTATTTTTGGTTTGACCGCTACTTATAAGATAAGTCGTTCGTTCTAGAAACATTTTTTATAAGGGTGTGGAAACCTCTCCTTAGCAGACACATTTTAAAACCTTGAGGGGAAGCAGGAAAAGCCCAAAGAGGACAATATCTGTTAGCAGTGGGCTTGGACCGCTACAAATGGTATCAGAGTCAGACACTGAGCGATGTGCCAGTGAAGAGGCTGAGTCTCGAAGTGGGGGTTGGACACTAGGCGGGGTGCTAGCAAGGATGCTGGGCTCCGAAAGAGGTGGATTGTGAGATCCCACATCGGTTGGATAGGGGAACAAAACATCCTTTATAAGGGTGTGGAAACCTCTCCTTAGCAAACGCATTTTAAAACCTTGAGGGGAAGCACAAAATAAAAATCCCAAAGAGGACCATATCACCTAGCGGTGGGCTTGGACTGTTACACTCGCTTATCTATCGCCTATGAACAATAGTCAATAGTACTGGTAAAAAGGAAGATTCTAACATGCTGGGAAATTTAAAAGGGAAGATAAAGTACATAATTTGAAAATGGAAATTTTAACACGACTATAACTTCGAGAGAATCAAAAGTAGCTCAAAAAAAGGATTGGCTAGCAGAGAACCGAACCTGTAAGAAATGATTCACGGCCCTACGAACCACACCCGGTTCATGAGGTGGCAACTGCATCATAGTTAGGAACAAGAAGTTAGCATCTCTGTAGCAAAGTTGAGCACCATTTCTTCAAACTCATGTTTTCAAGGATAAGAAAGTTTTATCTCAACAACAAAGTCCACGAGTGAACATAAGTTTTCAGGGGAAATTACTCATCTAGTTAGCATATATTATGTGTACATATGAAAAGGGGAGAGAGATGCTTATATTCTATACAAAGGGACAAACCACTTCTCCAGGCTTTCTTTTGCTTATGCGCTCAACATCAACATGACAAACATTTGATAAGGCATGTACTCCAGCATCCTTCATTGAAAAAAGAAGGTCACAACGTGAATGGGATAACTTAATCTACTAACGGTAGCAAGAAATGTAATATGACGCATGGGAATACGATTATCAAAGCAATCAATCAAGTCAATAGAGCAGCTCAATAACGGATCCCTTTCTACCAAGCACACCTCAAAACAGGTGAATATGGAGCAAGATGCAAACAAGCCAGAAAAACAACTTGTCCCTGTAGCAGTTCAAGCCCACCATTAACAGGTATTGTTCGCTTTGGCCCATTACGTATGCCATCAGTCTCACTATTTTAAAATGCATTTGTTAGGAGAGGTTTGCACACCCTTATAAGGAATGGTTTGTTTCCCTCTCTAAACGATGTGGGATCTCACAATCCACCCCCTTGGGGGCTAGCGTCCTCGCTGGCACACCGCTCGGTGCCTGGCTCTGACAAATACTGTCCGCTTTGGCCTGTTATGTATCGCTGTCAACCTTACAGTTTTAAAACGTGTCTGTTAGGGAGAGGTTTTCACACCCTTATAAGGAAAACTTTGTTCCCCTCTTCAACGGATGTGGGATCTCACAATTTACCCCCTTTGGGAGCCAACGTCCTTGTTGGCACACCGCTCGGTGTCTGGCTCTAACAAATACTGTCTGCTTTGGCCTGTTATGTATCGCCGTCAGCCTTACGGTTTTAAAACGTATCTGTTAGGGAGAGGTTTTCACACCCTTATAACGAAAGCTTCGTTCCCCTCTCCAACCGATGAAAGATCTCACAATCCACCCCCCATGGGGGCCAGCACCCTCGCTAGCACACCGCTCGGTGTCTGGCTCTGATACCATTTGTAACAGCCCAAGCCCACCACTAACAGATATTGTCTGCTTTGGCTTGTTATCTATCGCCATCAGCCTCACGGTTTTAAAAAGCGTCTATCAGGGAGAGGTTTCTACACCCTAATAATGAATGCTTCATTCTCCTCTCCAACCGATATGGGATCTCACAATTCCAATGGTTTTGTTATAAAATCCGACTTAGAACAATAGAGGCAAGTTCATGCATCTCAAAAGAACATAAGCCCTACAGTCAAACTACCAATTCAATTCCATATCCTTCTCTGCACACATCAAAGCTAGTGGGAGAAGAACTACCAGAGGACTGAAGATTCTGCAAGATAAAAGTCGTGGAAGCTACCCTACAAGAACACTGAACATTCTAATAACAGCAATAAAACTGATTTTCATATGACAAAAAGGAACAAATATCCAGAATAAGAAAAACTTACAGTTCTGCTAGAACAAAACACTGAAACTGATTGACCGATAAACTTCCGGAACGCTTCCTGAGAAGTAAAAGTAATCATTTATAGAGTAATGCAAGAGATCCATTTCAAAGAGTTTCATCGGTTAAGAAGGATACGCAGAGTAATGAAAGATGGCAAAGGCGGTGTACCTCAAGCACGCCGACCACCGTACGACAGTTGGGCTGCTGCTGAGACCCAGAAAAACGAGTTCCAATATATTCGACTGCGACAAGGTAGCGTTGGATTCCAGGGTTACGGTTCATGGATTCTGCTTCCTCCTTATCGCCAGGGAGATCTTCGTTCGTGGTCTTTCCAATTTTCAACGGCCTTTGAGGTGATGAATCGGAACTGAACTCTAGCCTATGCTTCTGGTTCTCCGTCATTGATTTCCGCCACTCCCGCCAAGATTATGAGAATCGAACACTGATTCCAAAGCTTAAACAATGTAGCAAGCGTTCTCGCGCGAGTTTAAAGGTTGAACTCCGCCATAAGTTGAACAAGTTCCCAAGGTAGACGACGGAGGTTTGCTTCGCTAGGTCGTATTCGCCGTTTTAATTTTCCACCTGTCGAATGACAGTTCGACATGTCGTCTCAATGCTCCGTGCTTCTCAGTTATAAACACGTGGGCTTGGGCTTAAAATGGGCTCATATTTTGTAAGCCCAATACCATTTAAAAATAGCCCTAGCCCAATTATGTTGCGAGAAAACCCTAATTTCTTCCCTTGTATCACTTAATTCATGCGCCGCACAGCGTAGCAGCCATATTGTAGCCGGCGGCATCCATTATATAGGTCCCCTAAATTGAAAGTCGAAACCCTAACTCGAGTTACGAAGGCACAGCCCTGTTCTTCACCTCTCTATTCCCAGTGTCAGGTATAACAGTTTCGATAAGTATGGTCGCCATTGAATTCACGGTTATATTACTCGATTTACTTCGACTATAGTTTGTTCATTCCATCTCTAACCTCTACTTGCAGGATCTCTTATTTCCCTTTGCAGTATACTTCAATTTGTTTTAAAATTGTTTTGTCTCTTTGGATTTGACGTGAAATGAGCTCTGGTGAATCGATCTGTAACTTTACCATTGTAGTTTATGTTTTTGATTTATTGTTAATACGACGTGAAGAAAGTATGTTATCTGGAGGATATTTTTATTGCAACTAATGCATCTGGAGGATTGAAAATCTAAATTCAGGCCTTGTATTTCTGGAATTTTGTTTTTTTTATCCCCGACCGTTGTTCCATTCATGTTTTCCGGTTAAATTCCAATATTCCTAATGACAGTCGAAATGGCTTCCCCATAAAAAAAAACTATGAATAATCAGGGCTGGAGTCTAGAACAGGCTCTTTCTCCAAAGCCAATTTATTGGTTTTTGGGTTGAAACACGGATGAGCCTGAGTTTTGGCATTATTTAGTGCCATAGGCCACTGGTTGGGGGTCATTTTGATGTCTGCAGGATCATGGAACCTGAAACCAGGAAAACTTGAACCTGGAACCTGTTTTTTCTTCCATCCTTATGCGAATACTGTTATCCGTATTTTTGAGATTTTTGTTTCACTCTAATTTTTTTTTTTTCTCTTTGTGGTTTTTGTTTTTAATTACAAATGATCTGTTTTGGCCTATCGTTATCTATTATTTTGTACCCACTAGTATTATATGTTTTTTATTTGAAATGTTATGCTTAATTACCGTTTGAAAGAAGAACCTGTGTATCGTTTGGTCTTTTTGGGATGCTGTTAATGGATCAATTAAATTTCAAAGTTTCCAATTAATTTCAATAGGAACGCAGTATGTCTCACCGCAAGTTTGAGCACCCAAGACATGGCTCTTTGGGTTTTCTTCCCAGAAAGAGAGCTTCTCGCCATAGAGGGAAAGGTATTGGCACTCATTCTTTGCTAGATCTTATTTTATGACTAATAGTATTATATTATTGTATTTGTATAGATCATTCATATTGTTTTTTATTCCGCTTGTAACAAGTCAGTTGTCAGTCTTTTAATATGCACCGGTTTGATCGTTCCAAGTGCTTCATTCAGTTTTTCCTTTTATATTGTAGTCAGCTGAGTATTTTCTTCTGTAATTAGTGCTTCTCACTCTGATCAGTTGTTGCTCAGGCATATTCCTGGATGCTTTTTTCATTTATTGAATCCTTGCATAACCTTTCCATACTTCGATTTCAATTGCATGTTTACCTTTTTTTTTATATAAATTTCATGTTATGATATAGTGGAAAGCATTACAACACGCATTGTGTTTACTAAATTCCTTACAAATTTTCTTTCTTGTGTAAGAAAATTTATTTGATATTCTTTAGCTCAATGTTTTTATCTGGTGGTGACTTTTACTTCGCAGTGAAGGCATTTCCCAGAGATGATCCATCGAAGCCTTGTAGATTAACTGCTTTCCTTGGATATAAGGCTGGAATGACTCATATTGTCAGAGAAGTTGAAAAGCCTGGATCAAGTGAGTCTGGTTGAAAGTTATTTATATCTATATAAAGAAAATGATATAGATGCATATAGCAATATATCCAACAGTTGCCTAGTTATGTCTGTTTCTCTACGGCACCATTGCTTCTTGTTTTGCCCTTTTTAGCAATTTTGCGTAGCATTTATTGTGTTGGTTAATCTTGTGTTTGGCCTTCTATTTAGATTATAAATTTCCCAATTGCAATGTGATGTGGAAACTTGTTGGATTATTGATTTGTCTTATGATCCTCTTAGAGTTACACAAGAAAGAAACATGTGAAGCTGTAACAATTATAGAAACGCCCCCTATGGTTGTTGTTGGTGTTGTTGGCTATGTCAAAACGCCACGAGGTTTGCGTTCATTGAAAACTGTATGGGCCCAGCATTTGAGCGAGGAGGTCAAGAGGAGATTTTACAAGAACTGGTGTAAGTCTAAGAAGAAAGCTTTCTCTAAGTACTCAAAGAAGTTTGAGACTGAAGATGGAAAAAAGGATATTCTGGCACAGTTCGAGAAATTGAAGAAATACAGCACTGTGATTCGTGTTCTGGCCCACTCCCAGGTACTTAGTGCTTCCCAAATATTACATGATGAACGACTTGAATACTATACTTTTCTCCCCTTCCGTTTAATGTTGATCAACCTGAAAATTTTAACCGTTGCAAAATATTGTTAATATTTGATGTGTAGTTCTATGTTTAAGTACCCACTTTAAGAAGATCGACTTTGTTTCAGATAAGGAAGATGCAAGGACTAAAGCAAAAGAAAGCTCACTTGATGGAAATTCAGGTGAATGGTGGAGATGTTTCTAAGAAGGTTGATTATGCATATAGTTTATTTGAGAAGCAGATCCCTGTTGATGCAATCTTCCAAAAGGATGAGATGATTGATATTATTGGTGTAACTAAAGGAAAGGGTTATGAAGGTGTGGTTACCCGTTGGGGTGTCACTCGTCTCCCCCGCAAGACCCATCGTGGCCTTCGCAAGGTAGCCTGTATTGGTGCTTGGCATCCAGCCAGAGTGTCATTCACTGTTGCTCGAGCAGGGCAGAATGGTTACCATCATCGCACAGAGATGAATAAGAAGGTTTATAAGGTTGGGAAGACCGGCCAAGACTCCCATTCTGCTATGACTGAGTTCGATAGGTTAGTCAACCTTTGCCTTCCCCTTTTTGGCTATTACTTATCTTTTCTTGAATTACTGCTACTGATGTTTGTGGATATTTATTCTTTTTAGGACTGAGAAGGACATAACTCCAATTGGTGGATTCCCTCACTATGGTGTGGTCAAAGAGGATTACTTGATGATCAAGGGCTGTTGTGTGGGTCCAAAAAAGCGTGTTGTCACATTGAGGCATTCACTGATTAAGCAGACGTCAAGGGTTGCTATGGAGGAAATCAAACTGAAATTCATTGACACTTCCTCCAAGTTTGGCCATGGACGGTTTCAGACAACACAGGAGAAGGCTAAGTTTTATGGACGAGTCAAGTAGGTGTTGCGTGCGACTGATTTTTTTTATTCTCGATGATTTGGGTTTCTTCATTTTAAACATGTAACGTTTTCAGACTTGGGAAAGGTGTTGTTTAATGTTATGATGACTATTCATCCTTGGTGTTCAATCTGTTCTTCAATCCTCCACCTAGTTGTCTGGTGGTGTTGTGACTCCGTACTCATCTGCTTGTTTTGGATCCTGCACCCTTTTTCTTGACCCAGTTGATTCAACATTTTTGTATCCACCCAGTGGGGATCAAATAGACAGCGGCACCAATTTGAACACGTTTCTGTGCTGTTTCTAAATTCAAACAGGGTTTCAATATGAACATAAATGAGAACATGGAATATCTGGCGTCCATTCCAATTTCCATTCTTCTTTTCATTGATGAGTTCCCCACGTTTTGTAATGTTCTGAATATGACCATTCGATTAGACCCTCTCACCTTTTCTAATTCACGGGGCCCTATACTACACTCCACTCCCTACTATAATTGAATCTGAATCCCAAACCCAACACAATTCATTCCTACGAACCCACTCCCTGTATTGTGTTTAGATATGTTTATGGGTACGAACCCACTTCCTGTATTGTGTTTAGATATGTTTATGGGTAGAGTTAGCTATGCAAGTGTGTGTAAACTTCTCTTTGACATACATGTTTTAAAATAAATTAGACGAACACGTTGTAATATATATTTACTAACAGTGAACTTGACTTTATATATGTATCTCTATAAAGCCTACGAAGGTGCTCCCATCTAAGTTACAACATTTCTTTTTATTATGCCTTCCTTAGGATTCTTATGGGATCACAAGAACTTTTTAATTGTCTTAAGAGGAATGACCGAACCTAAGTCTAGATCATAGTTCTAAGTCATATTATATTATTTTATTGTGAGTAGAGGAGACCATGACCGTAAATGATGCCGCGTCGGCTTCGTCCAGTCCACGTGGTATTTCCAAAAAATTTAGAAACCATTGCTATATTATCAATCTTCCATTTTCTGAGGCTTCCAATAATCCTGTCTGTTTTAGATTCTCCCGCTCCCCCGATTCTCTCCTCCCTTCTTCCCGGAATCCTGGATTTCTCTTCATCATATCTTCCCCTTTCCATCTATCATCCTCTACCCCCCTTGTTCTGCTACAAACTCCGCCGTCTTCTCCATTTCCACAGCCACCTCCGCCTTAATTTCCGCCGCCCAATCCATGTTGTTCCCATATGATTTCTCCTTTCCATCTTCCCTTCTCTGTATCTAAATGATTACGCACTCCACATCTCCGCCCTTTGATTCCTCGAATTCCTTCCCTCAACATTCCCCCTCTCACAACTTCATTACCGGAGCTCGCAACTCCCTTTCTACCGCCGCTTTCCTTCCCCGAAATCCCCGGCGAAAACGGTTCTTCCCTTCTTCTCTTTCTCCGGATGCCGCAACTCGCCACTTCAATCTACAATTTGCAACTCTCGCGAGGAGGGGCGCCAAATTTTTTGTAGTCAAGCGTACTACTAATGAGTTGGAGAGGGAAGAATTCTCCCAGGACTCTTCTGTGCAAGTGGGATCAAGTTTCACTGCTTTTCAGGAGGATCCTATTGTCGATAAGTTAAGGACCCAACTCGGTGTCATACACCCTATCCCTTCGCCACCCATTAATCGAAACATTGTTGCGTTGTTCGTCTTCTTTTTCTTCGTTGGAGTTGCCTTCGACAAATTATGGACACTTAGAAAGAGAAGTAAATCGAGAAATGAAGATGGGCGTCGTGGCACATGGCCGCAGGTGCCTACTAGTTTCTCGTCGTTTTTGGAGAAGGATTTACAAAGGAAGGAGTCGGTGGAGTGGGTGAATATGGTGTTGGGTAAATTATGGAAAGTTTATCGACCTGGCCTTGAGGATTGGCTTGTTGGATTGTTGCAACCTGTTATTGATAATTTGAAGAAACCGGATTATGTGGAGAGGGTGGAAATCAAGCAGTTTTCCTTGGGGGAAGAACCATTGTCTGTTAGGAATGTTGAGAGGCGAACATCCCGTCGAGCCAATGATTTGCAGTAAGTTATTTTGAACCTATCTTTCAAATTTTATATACTCTCTGGTGTGCAGATTGAACACCTTCCTGCGATGTTTACTGGCGATAGAGTTCCATGAATTTATTCAGTCATTATTGTTTTTACATTTAGTTTCTAAGTGGGGGCAGGGTGGGGGTGTATGACTAATCTCGAGGTGGGAGATTTCATATTGGTTGGAGAGGGAAACGAAACATTCTTTATAAGGGTGTGAAAATCTCTCCCTAGAAGACCCATTTTAAAAACCTCGAGAGGAAGCCTCCGAATGGGAAAGCCCAAAGAGGACAATATCGGCTAGCGGTGGTCTTGGGGCGTTACAAATGGTATTAGAGCTAGACACCAGGTAGTGTTCCAGCAAGGACGCTGGGCTCCTAAAGGAGGTGGACTATGAGATTCCACATCGATTAGAGAGGGGATCACGCCCTAAAGGGGGGTGGATTGTGAGATCTCACATCGGTTGAAGAGAGGAACGAAGCATTCTTTATAAGGGTGTGGAAACCTCTCCCTAGCCGACGCGTTTTAAAAACCTTAAGGGGAAAGCTCAAAGAGGACAATATCTGGTAGCAGTTGTCTTGGCCATTACTAATGGTATCAGAGCCAGACACCGGGCAGTGTGTTAGTGAGGACACTGGGCCCCAAAAGAAGGTGGATTGTGAGATCCCACATCGATTAGAGAGGGGAACAAGTGCCAACAAGGACGCTGGGTCCAAAAGGGGTGGATTATGAGATCCCACATCAGTTGAAGAGGAGAACAAAACATTCTTTATAAGGGTGTAAAACCTCTTCCTAGCAGACATGTTTTAAAAACTTTGAGGGGAAGTTCGAAGGGAAAAGCCCAAAGAGAACAATATTTGGTGGCAGTGGGTCCCACTTGAGCAATTACAGAGGCCACATGTCTAAGTAATTGAGCTATCGTTTCAGTTTTATTAGAACAACCGTATTACAATTGCTTTTCTTCATTCAATGTTCTTCAGGTACCAAATTGGTCTGCGCTATACTGGCGGTGCTCGTATGTTATTAATGCTTTCACTAAAATTTGGCATCATCCCCATTACTGTTCCAGTTGGTGTCCGAAATTTTGACATAGATGGTGAATTATGGGTCAAGTTGCGGCTTATTCCAACTGAACCTTGGGTAGGTGCCGTTTCATGGGCATTTGTTTCACTACCAAAGATCAAATTTGAGTTGTCACCGTTCCGCTTGTTCAATTTAATGGGTATGTTGTAGTTTCTTGACTTTGATTACCAATTACATTTCACTGCAAGGTAGTCATAGTGAGGTTTGAGAGGGGAAGCATGTTCTTCTTTAGTTTATCTTTATGGATTTAGTATGCATGCTTGTGGTGGTTCCATTCGTTTCTTGATGATAGTTTTCTTTGCTTTAAGTGTTTAAATTTGGATGCTGATGCACATTTCTCTGTCTTTCCATCTTTTTGCTGCACGCTTGGGACATCAACAGCCATTCCTGTTCTCTCCATGTAAGTTCATTAATCTTAACTGATGAATAGTTGCTCTATAACTTGATTAACTCAAGGAAGAAATGGAGTCGTTCCTTCATGGCTTAGCGTTGTTGACTGTTCTATGATATAATTTTATCTTCTTCACAATTTTGAAAGGAAAAAAGATTAATTCTATGCCAAAAAGTTTTGTAATGATATTCTATATCATATTTGTGCCGCTGAGTATTTTACTAGTTCAATCCATCAATTGTTCGTGCTATAACGAGACTCCAGATACCTTGAAAAATAGTACTTCGACTAGTAAAAAAGATTGCTATTATTGAAGCCTTTTGTTTTGAGGATCATATCATGAAGTAAAAGTTCTTTTGATCAGAACCTATAACGGTTCAAGCCCACCGCTAGCAGATATTGTCCGAAAGGAAAAGCCCAAAGCGGACAATATCTGCTAACGGTAGACTTGAGCTGTTCAAAATGATATCAGAGCCAGACAGACACCAAACGAGAGGATTGTGAGATCCCACGCTTGTTGGAGAGGAGAACTTTGCATTCCTTATACGGATGTGAAAACCTCTCCTTAGTGGACGCATTTGAAAACCGTGAGGCTGATGGTGATACGTAACAAGTCAAAGTGGACAATATCTGCTAGCAGTGGGCCTGGGCTATTATAGAACCAGTTTTCTGGTTGTCATCATTGTATGGTGGTAGTTCATGGCATAATTTTCTCATCACCATGGCATAATTTTCTCATATAGCTGATAACTCTTAACGGAGTGTTTTAGTCGTTTTTAGGCTTGTGTTTCTTCCATCTGTTTGTCCTCTGACATGTATGCGAATTATGTCTGCATAGGTTTTTGACGAAACTTCTCACAGAGGATTTACCTAAATTATTTGTACGTCCAAAGAAGATAGTTCTAGATTTCCAAAAAGGAAAAGCTGTTGGACCCGTCCCGGATGAGGTTAAATCGGGAGACATACAAGAAGGAAATAAAGGTTTTGTTGGGGAACTTTCAGTAACCCTCGTAGATGCTCGGAATCTTACTTACGTCTTTTATGGTATGCCATTTTATCTATATTGTCCTTTCTAAAAAACCATGCTTTGTAGTGCTTATCAACATTGTTGCGACACTGCTGTTCTGCTGTCAGAAACTTAGCATCTGATTAACTGTAGATAGTAACTATTATGGTTCTGTACGTTATTCATCAATCTTTGTTCTTCTCAGGAAAAACGGACCCATACGTGATTTTAAGCTTGGGCGATCAAATAATACGCAGCAAAAAGAACAGCCAAACCACTGTAATTGGATCACCCGGTGAGCCAATTTGGAATCAGGTGAAGATCATTTCTGATTTTACTTTTACTGGAGGATATGTTCCATCTTTGGTTATTTTCGGGTTCATTTGTGTACTCGCGTTAATTGGCATTGGGAATATTGGCAGGATTTCCATATGCTTGTTGCAAATCCTAGGAAACAGAAATTGTATATCCAAGTGAAAGACTCTCTTGGATTTGCAGATTTGACCATTGGTAATGCAGAGGTAACTTATCTTTCGTTGCAGTTAGTATAGTTAGATTTTGAAATATCTATGGTATTGCATTCAAGGGCAAGTTTAAAACTTGTGAAACTATGCGAGATTTCTTTATCCATCAACCATCAACCATTTACTGTCCGATCGTATCTTTATTTTTCTCTTCTAACTGTGCAAACTGGAACAGTCCAAGTCCACCGCTAGCAAATATTGTCTGCTTTGGCCCATTACGTACTACCGTCAGCCTCACGGTTTTAAAACGCCTCTTCCATGGAGAGGATCTAGCCCTACTCCGACTAGTGCCGCACTAGTCCAGTTTCTAGCTTTGATACCATTTGTAACAACCAAAACCCACCGCTAGCATGATGAGATTTTTTTTCAATGGAGTGTTACAAATGATATCAGAGTTAAACACCAGGCAGTGTGTCAGTGACCTCTACCTAACAGACACATTTAAAATCGTGAGGCTGACGACGATACGTAACGGGCCAAAACAGACAATCTTTACTTCGGCTGTTACACTAAAACTGCTGAACTATGTTCGTATTGCGTTCAGGGGTAGGTTTAAATTTATTTTTAATGATCAAAACTAGTTTAGTCAATTCAACAGTGGTTTAGCCTTATTTAAGTTTCTTCTATCAGTTGGGGTTGGGAATCATTAGCTCATTTCTCAACCTGAAGTTCTGAATAGATTTTGGTACTCTGCTCTTTAACAGAACTGCTACATAAGCTTGAGCATCTTGTATAACCAGCATTCTTGGTGATCATGTGAAAGTCTTATAGAATAGTATGTATGTTTTGCGTGGTTTTGGTAATCTTGTTAAAGATATCAATTTCTGAGCCCTGAGCAGCATCAGCTCTCTGGTAATGATATCATATATTGAACTCGATATGTTCTTACTTGTTCTTACAAAACATACAGGTTGATCTTGGTTCTCTTCAAGATACTGTACCAACGGACAGAATTGTTGTTTTGGGGGGAGGTTGGGGACTCTTTAGAAACAGGTCTTCTGGAGAAATACTAGTGAGATTGACATACAAAGCATACGTCGAGGATGAAGAGGACGACAAGGCTGCATTAGATGCCTTGGATACAGATATTTCGGATGACGAGTCATCTGATTCGGATGAACCTGATGAACCAAATGGTGCTTACGACGAGGGTGAAAACGATGCTGCGAAGGAAACTGATAAGGAATCATTTATGGACGTTCTAGCGGCATTGATTGTGAGCGAAGAATTTCAGGGTATAGTAGCATCGGACACATTGAATACGAAGCTTCAGAATGACGCCACCACTTCTTCTAGCATAGGGACAACGAGGTCGAGATCTCGTGATGTGGTTACTGATAACAAACCCGCAGTTTCTGGCGTTGGAGATAGAGGTTTAGCTGGTAATATTTTGTCTAGTTATTGATCATGCATATATTTTTGTTTGTATGATGGTGAAGTGTTCTAATATGTGTAAATGGCAGAATCAACGCTGTTTTGGCTTGCTGTGATCACGAGTATCTCGGTGCTCATTGCGATCAACATTGGTAGTTCGAGTTTCTTCAATCCATGAACTACTCGGACCCTTAAGCCATTTTGTATCATGTCATGAGCATAGAGCAAGCCACCTTGGCTGGCTGGAGTCGAGTATATCAATCACCCATACACATTGAATTGAACAATGAGAATCGATCAACTTAACTCCTGTTCGGTTCGTATATACGTCGCTATCGGAGGAGCAAGATTCTGTCGACGGCATACCAATTTTGGCTTTGTATTATAATAACAAATTTACATTCTTTTCAAGTTGTGCCTTGTAACTTCATTTGGCACCCATCATTTGTCCTCTCATAACCTGCAATATAAAAATAGAAATTACACACACCCTCTTAGCCTCACCTCGCGCATTGGCCAATTACCGATACAAACCCATCTTCTTGCCACTGCTTACTGCTCGTTTTTTTTTTTTTTTTTTTTTTTTTTTTTTTTTTTTTTTTTTTTTTTTTTTTTTTTTAAGCCTTTTAGAGTTCGTTTTTCAAGCTATATTTACTTAAACTCGAACAATTAGTGTTGCACTTTCTAAATAAGTGGTACTTCATAATCTCGGATTAAGCTATGTTTGTAGTAAGTATGGAAACATAATATAAGAAGTATGTCATACAAATTTAAATTTGAACTAAGTTGATTTGATGTATGAAAAAACATGTTTAACATTATAATATGCGTTTATCGAGAAATGAACGATAAAATTCTTTTTAGAGCATGTAATGCGTTAATTTGATGTATGTAAGAGCATACTAAACATTATGATGCATGTTTTTCGAGAAACACACAAATTGAGCTCCGAGCCGTGCAAAACTCAAAATCCATGTCTATGTCACTATGTTATGTCTCTATTTATGAATTTGTCATGCATGTGAGTTAGCGGTCATACAGGGATGCTTAGGGGTTTGCCAACTAATCTTTAATTGTAAACCTAACTCAATTATCAGGAGTTCAGATAACTATAGAACTGCCCTATGATGTCTTATGTTGTATGATTGTATTTTGTGGGGATTATTAGGAAGTTTGCTAGTTAGTTTCCTTAAGTGTAGGTCACAAGTGACAGGGGTCCTCAGTTACCGTTAAGAGTTGGTCGAATCTTAGAATGACTTATAAGATTGATACTGAGGTCGCACCTCAAGGGCTTATGATGTATAAAATGAGCAAATCAAGGATATAGATTAGAAAAAACATATACTTGGGGATGAACTCCCAAACTAGAATAAGATACCGAATGAACAGATTAAGATCAATAAAATTTAATAATAAAATGATCAACTTAACTCATGTTCGGTTATAAGTCGCTATCGGAGGAGCAACATTCTATCCCGCGAACCAATTTTGGCTCTGTATTATAATAACAATTTTGCAAAAATTTTCAACTTGAACGTTGTAACTTCATTTAAACACACTCTATTGGCCTCACCTGACCCATTGGCCAATTCCTGTTACTGCTCATTTTCAAATGCCAAGGCAAAAACGACCGGCGGGTACCGGGAGACAACCCAAGCAAGATTCCGGCGAATATCGGAGAATGGGAGGGTCCCACTCCCACCCACCGTTATCGGTCCACGCCACTAGGCTCCGGTTCGGTTGGGCCCAAAATCTAATGGTCTAACCACGCCCGATTTCAGACAGCCGGACCGGAGATCCTCATCGTTCATCTCTTTGCTCAAGTTTACCCTTCCGCCCTGTGCTCTAACATCGGACCTTCTGGTCTGCTGCATCCATCGCAACGCCCCCCCATACTACAGATTATATCTAGAAGAACACTATGAGAATCCATCGACCAACTGTGCGGCTTCTTGAACAAATCCGAACACTTGCCTTACATTGCCGCACGAATCCTGCGCAAATCTGTACAAATCCGTTGCTTCCGCCACCATCCGACCTTCTTTCTACTCCGTCTGTTCGTTTCTATTCCAAAGGTTCTTATCTTTCTTCCCTTTTTTCAATCCTTTTCTTTGTTTTCTTCGTTATCACGGCTTTGGCTCAGACACGGATTTATTGGGTTAGGTCTCTTCCACATTTTACATTGGATGCTGTGGATTACTTCTTCATTTGAATTATGAAATGTAGAATTGAGTTCTGTATTATTTATTGGCTATTACCTTTTGAATGAAATCTTTGTTTGTATCTTTCGATGCTTGGCCTCCTATAATCTGAACATCTCTTCAAACTTGTTTAAAATAGGCGAAGTACAAACGCAACAGCTATCAATGGAGCTTATCAAGATAATGGAACAAAGGTTGAGGGCCATTGAGCTCAGGAGCACTTTTCTTCTGAATATAATCAACCGGGTACCACTTATTCTCACTTTTTTATGCCCTCTCCTTTGCTGTACAGACATCACGCAGCTTCAGAATTTTGTTTAAGTTAACATATTAAAAGTTGTACAACAAATCGAATGAGATAAAATATGATCTTATGAAACTTCATAATATCCATATTCTACCTTAGCCTTCCCGCCTAGAAGCTGTAATTCTCACACATTTGGAAGATAAATAGGTTTGGAGATTAGACAGCAGTGACACATTCACAACCAATTCTTTCCTCCTTGACTAAAACATTATTGCTGAAGAGAAACAACCCTTTTACTATCGTATTCAATTTGGATAGACCCATATTTTGTAACGGCCCAAGCCCACCGCTAACAAATATTGTCTCTTTGAGCTTTTCCTTTCGGGTAGTTTCTTTCTCTTCCCCAACCAATGTAGGATCTCACAATCCACCCTTTCAGGGCCCAATATCCTCACTAGCACTCTTTCCATTCTTCAATCGATGTGGGATCCCCAATCCACCCCCTTACTAGCACACCGCCTTGTGTCCACCTTCCTTTGGGGCTCAGCCTCCTTGCTGGCACATCACCCGGTGTCTGGCTCGGATACCATTTGTAACGGTCCAAGCCCACCGCTAATAGATATTGTCCTCTTTGAGCTTTCCCTTTCGGGTTTCCTCTCAAGGTTTTTAAAACATGTCTGTTAGGGAGAGGTTTCCACCCCTTATAAAGGATGTTTTGTTCTCCTCTCCAACCGACGTGGGATGTCACATATTCTTTCTTTGGAAGCTTGCTCATAATGTTGCAATACCCATGACCTCTTACAGCAGCCTATGCCATATTCATCAATCTCGCTTCAATGCAAGAATGAAGCTGAATCTCAGTCACAAGACTTGCTTTCTCGCTCTTTGGAATGATATGCTCTCTTCCTTTGGTTGGTCACTGGCTTTACGACGTAATCTCAAGGGTTTCCTCTTATTCCTCTCCCAGAACACCCCTTCTGAAAGGAGAAGAAAACCCTTTAGATAAACATAATTAGAGCTTTCTTTTGGGCAATTTGGATTTAAAGGAATCATTGGCTTCTTTTCGAGAAAGAACCTTGCAGCTGGATTCTTCAGAAAATAGTTGTCTTAGCTATCTCGTAGTATAAATTTTCTTTCTTCTTAATTCTCGTAGTTATGTCTCTCTTTGTTCAGCAAATTTTTTCTTATCATAAAAGGAAAATAATCAAATAAATATAGAAAATTTTAGCTTTCCAACCCTTCCTACTCTTCCTTTTCTCCGGTATCCCTTTCTCTTATAATTACAGACCTTAAATGATGATTTAATTTTCTTTACTCATGGTGTTATTTGAACATAGCCAGAAGCCCCACCGTCCGAGTATGCAAAGGCTAACAAGGAGCTTAAGAAACTCAGAGATACGATGGATCTAATAAATGAGTTGAGGTCTAGACAGAAGGTATGAAATACATTCAACACAGTATCTTTATTTACAATATGAACTGCTTAAGATGTTATCTATGAAAAGGTTAAGAGATGACTGAATTATTTCCTTTCGGTGCAAAGACGACCTCTGTTCATGCTGTTCTTTCACAATCATCTACTAATTTGCTGTTTCTTTGACTTGGTTGTTCAAACTCCAAAATGTTCTGAATACAACTTGTGTGGGTGTTTTTGTTTTACAATGAGATTGTAGACGCCTATCGGAATTCTTGTAAGTGGACTGACTTGGAGGCATCCGCTTCCCCAATGAATGAAATGTGTGTTGTTGCCGTACTATTTACAGAAGGATATCAGAAATTTTTTACGACTGTTTTGGCTGTAGGAAATTAATGGTTTGAGAACGCTGATGGACGAATGCCCAGAGGATAAAGATATGCTTGATATGGCTACGGAGGAATTAAATCAGGCAGTTGAAGAAGAGAAAAGATTACAGCACTCATTGCTCACGTCGTTACTTCCTAGAGATGATGCTGATGAGAGGGGTTGCATCTTGGAGGTGAGAGCAGGTAGGTAATGGTGCATATTAGTGAACGTAGCCATTAATGAGGTTTTTTTTTTTTTTTTTTGTTGAGAATAGGAATTTTTCTGTTCTCTTTTTCTCCGTTTCCGATCTCGATAGTTATAACTAATAGAAAGTTTTACCAGGAACTGGTGGAGAAGAAGCTTCTTTGTTTGCCATGGATATATTCAAAATGTGAGTGACAGTTTGCATAGCATGCTTAGTATCACTGCTTAGTTCTCAAGAGTTATTTACTTCGGATCAAAATAGGTATGAGCGATACGCACAGAAGAAAGGTTGGAAGTTTGAGGTGGTTGACATAACAGAATCGGATCTTAAAGGATATAAGGTGAATTCATTAGCAAATTTTTTAGTTCAACAATGTATGGGGTAAAAGATTCGAACCTTTGACCTAGAGTATATGTTTAATTTCTTCGAAGATAAATACAGGATTTATCATCCTACTTTGTAGGAAGCGGTTGCTGCAATATCAGGAGCCGGTGTGTATGGGAAACTTAAATTTGAGAGTGGAATTCACCGAGTACAGGTCTTCTCTCAACATGCATATCAATAGCCTTTAGCATTTTTACCATTGTGAAATGATAATTGAAACCATTCTCTTCCTTGGGCAGCGAGTTCCTGTGACAGAGAAGTCTGGGCGTGTTCATACCAGTGCTGTTTCTGTAGCCATTCTCCCTCAAGCAGACGAGGTTCCAACCCTTCTCGCTTGACGCTTTGAAGCCACTTTCTTCCTAGAAAATTAATATCCATAGTAATTTAGGCAAGGGATTGATTCTAAGTTTGGTTGTGATATTGTTGAGGGAATGTGCAGGTAGATGTTGAGTTGAAGAACGAGGACCTGAGAATAGATACATTCAGATCAGGCGGTTCAGGAGGTCAGCATGCAAATACCACAAATAGTGCCGTTAGAGTGACTCACATTCCAACTGGGTTGACTGTGTCCATACAAGACGAGCGATCCCAACATATGGTAGGAACAGTTTCGTTTCTATTGCTTGTATGATTTTGATGGGGTATTTCTGTTTGGTTTAACTTGTTTGAGTGTGCTTTCTTTGGTTCAAACAGAACAAGGCAAAGGCGCTTAAAGTTATATGTGCAAAGCTATACGAAATTGAAAGACGCAGGATTCAGAGCAGTCGGTCAAAGCTTCGATCGGAACAGGTAATAAGAAAGAGATTGATGTATGATGTTTATGGTTACTGTGTTGAAAGAAAATACTAAAGGAAGTGAGTTTGGATTATAAAAAGCAGATTGGTAGCGGGGACAGATCGGAACGCATTCGCACATACAACTTCCCGCAAGGGCGGGTAACAGACCATCGGGTAGGCATTACAGAGCATGCCATTGAGGAGGTGATGCAGGGACAGAATCTGGATATGTTCGTGGACGCTCTGTTATTGCAGCAGGAAATGGATGCAATTGCATCCTTCACTTCCTCTTCTTCGTAGTGGCTGTGGTAGTGAAGAGGAGGAGCATTGCATCAAATAGGATCTGCCCACTTCGCATTAGATTCAGGTAACATAAGAAATGTGTTTCTTACAGAAGTACAATACAAGTAGAATGGGTGGGTTACAATACAACTTTAAAGGGATTAAATTTCATATATGTTACAATGATGAGTAGTATGTAGGAGTTCGTTTCTGTTCGATACAACATAATTGTAACAGTTCAGACCCACCGCTAGTAGATATTGTCCTCTTTGGATTTTCCCTTTCATAAAACATACTTTTCCAAAATTGAGAGTGTTACCATATGTAATAGTCTAAGCCCACCACTATCAGATATTGAGCTTTCCATGCCCACCACTATCAGATATTGAGCTTTCCATTTTAGGGGAGAAGCGTCCACCAGGGAGAGGTTTCCAAACCCTTAAAAGGAATGTTTTGTTCCTCTCTCTCCAACTGATGTGGGATCTCACAATCCACTCCTTGGGGGCTCAGCGTCTTCGCTAGCACACCACCCGATGTCTGGCTCTTATACCATTTGTAACCACCTAATCTCACCGCTAGCAGATATTATCCTCTTTGGGTTTTCCCTTTCAAGCTTCCTCTCAAGGTTTTAAAATGCGTTCACTAGAGAGAAGTTTTCCCACCTTTAAAAGGAACGCTTTGTTCCATCTCCAACCGATGTGAGATCACACAAGTCAATGAAATTTTTTTTCCTGATCCTGGAAAAGGCAGAATTTCGATGGAAGTTAAAACAAATAATAAAAGGCAAAGCAAAGGTAGAAGGGGATGGAATATGAGGGCAGCCAGGGAAGAGACAGTGCATGAGTAGAGGCACAACAGGAAAAGGATAAGGCAAAGGCTAGTTGATTTCAATCTGTTGAGGGCTCCATCCATGCTCTACCTGTTCCCTGCTGCCCTTATCCTCAATCCCCAAAACTGACAGATTCACACGGATGCCATGGCCATTACAGTACAGTGGTGGAGTGTGCTGGTCTGGTGTGTTTGTGAAGGATGCCACGGCCACCTGTATTCGACTGTTTTTGAAAATTATGTTTCTTTTGACGATTTCGATTCCCACAAGTCGCAAATCTCAATACTCTCTGGATTTCCACTTTTCACCAACAACTCCATTTCTCCACTCCGTTTTGCTTCTGTTTTCCACTCCTCACCCACATCTCTCCATTAAGCAAAAAACAATTATCCCACTTTTCCACTTTCAGTGTTACTCGTATAGTTTCTTAAAATGGATACAAAAATGAATTGGGTTATGGACCCTACAATTATCCCACTGTTTCTTCCTCTATTTGTTGCAGTAGCTGTTTGTTAATCACAAAAATTGGTTCGGTTCTCTCTCCATTGAATCAACCGTGGGCAACCCATCATTTCTTAAGAGACAAACAATGGCAGGATTTGTGTAATAGTATAAGCTCACCGCTAGCCGATATTATTCGCTTTTGCACGTTATGCATCGCTGTCAGTACTTCTAAGGAATGCTTCTGTGAGATCCTATATCGATTGGAGAGAGTAATGAGTACCAACAAAGACACTGACCCTGAAGGTAGGTGGATTGTGAGATCCCACATCAATTGAAGAGATAAACAAGTACCAGCTAAAACATTAGATCCAAAATGGATGGATTGATCCCATATTGGTTCGGGAGGAAAACTAAACATTTTTTATAAAAGTGTGAAAATCTCTCCTTAACAGACACGTTTTAAAAGCTTTGATGGAAGCCTAAAAGGAAAAACCAAAAAGCCAATATTGGCTGAGTTGTTACATCTTCCCTTCCCTCTCCAACCTTAGTGAGAGAGATCTCACCATTTGAGTCCGGTGGGATTCTTGTCTTGTGTGAATACTTGGAAAGGGCCTTTTTTTTTTTTTTGGCGATACCCATCTGGTGTTTGCTCATGGTGGAGCTGGTGCTTGGCCTTTTAGCAACCACTATCCAAAGCTTACTATAGTGGGGCTTTCAGGGCGGCAGGCGTTTCGACTCCCAACTCCCAAGTGCTCGGTGCTCCAAATAAGCCCTTTTAGATATGTAATCATATGGAGTTTGAAAATCAAAAGTAGAGATACCCACCTAACACAGAGTTACACAAACATGCATTATGCTGTACGCAAATGGCGACTTTAGTTTGGAGTACTTGAAAGCCACGGAGTAGGCTTGCTTCAAGTCGAAGGCCACATTTCTTATAATATATAAAGGATTAGGAAGAGCAAGAACAAGCATACACTGTAATCGATGGATTGCAAGCTGAGTGTAATAAGGTGCAGCCGCAGCCTGGTGCAGCCCTGCGAGCAAACCCCTTGTGCTACACTCCATCTGTCCCCAATCGACAGCCTGCCTGCGCTTAGATGCAACGCTCGCACACTCCATGTGTTCAAAGATGCCCCTCATGAGGCTGCCCCTGCCGCCGTCATAAGACAAGCACTGTCGAGGGCATTGGCTCCCTACTACCCCCTCGCCGGTCGCCTTGACCAACAGGCCTACCCACTTCAACTGGACTGCTCCAACCAAGGCCAAGGCGTTCTGTTCGTGGAGGCTTCCTCCAGCAACACCCTCGCCTCCCTTAACTATTTGGATGACTTAACTTCAATCCCTTATGATCTTCTTCTCCCTGAGCTTGAATCAGAAGCGCTAGTGCAGATGCAGGTGACCCAATTTGCTTGTGGAGGGTTCGTGATGGGTTTGATTTTCTGCCATAGCATCTGCGATGGCCTTGGCGCCGCCCAGTTCTTGAATGCTGTCGGGGAGCTAGCCAGAGGCGTCGACCCAGCTCCCACAATCACGCCTAAATGGCACAGAGATTTCTTTCCTAAGCCATTGAATGCTATAAATCCCCAAATCCCTCCCCCGGTGATGCCGGATTACAGCCTACAACACTCCAACATCGACATACCCATAGACCGAATCAATCGGCTGAAGAAGCAATTTCAAGAATCAACAGGAGGGAGTTGCTCTGCTTTTGAAATCGTGGCGGCGTGTTTTTGGAGGAGTCGAACGCGGGCCGTGTACGAGAAAAGTAACAATAGCGAAGAAGTGAAGCTAGTTTTCTTCGCAAACTGCCGGGAGCTTGTGGAGCCTCCTCTGCCGAAGGGGTTCTACGGAAACTGCTTCTTTCCGGTGACAATTAGCCGCTGCTGCAGGGGAATCGGGGAGGCGTCGATAAACGAGGTGGTGAAGCTGATACAAGAAGCAAAGAGCAGAGTAGGAAGGGAGATGGGAGAGTACATGCGGCGGCGGCAGATGGAGGAGGGGAGGGATTCCGATCCTTTTGCGCCGCCGCTCAACTACTCCACTCTGTTCATATCGGAGTGGGGAAGGCTAGGGTTCAACCAGGTGGACTATGGATGGGGACCGCCGGTGCATGTGGTTCCGATCCAAGGCTCCGCCGTGATACCCGTCGGAATTGTGGGGTTTCTTCCATTACCTAGAAAGGGCATTCGTCTGATGACATGGTGCGTCCAGGAGCCGCATCGCCCGTCCTTTCTGCACCATATCTCACAGCTCTTCCTCCTTTGAACTCTCCTTTTTACTATTGAACTATTTGCTAATTATTTTTATTCCCATTTCCAAATAAAGTTAACTGTTTTTTTAGTGTGTAAATAAAGTTAAATGTATTTTATTAAAATTGCAATCCTGTCAAAATCTGTAATGTGTTGTGTTGTGTTCTGACATTAATAATATGATTCGATACATGATCGTCTTGACATTATCTTAATTACACGATCATGTTATTTACTCGTCTCGAAGTGTCTCTAATAGTAGAGATTATCCCGATAAACCAACACTCTTCCCTTTCACATGTTTTTTTTTTTCCTGTTCTAAGAAAATTTTCTGAACACACTCTAACCTAAGTACACTAATTTTTGAAGTTCTTATAATTGAGCTATCGAAAAAGGAAGATGTATCATGTTATTCGAATGTAGCCCTAGTTCATTTATGTTTTCATCGGTAAAGTCCCATGTCCAGGATTCATAGTAGAATTTTTGAACTTGGGTTCGACACTGGATGATCTTGATATTCCTACGCACCCCATACAATATGACCACGTTACTTGACTTGAAGTGCTTTTAAAAATGACTATTTTCACGTACTAGCACAAGTTATTTCAATTTGACTCACGTGTTTCCTAGAAAATTTTAAAAATGTGACCTAACACAAAATTGTTTCAACCACGTTTAACTTTGAGTTTTCTATGATTGAACAACATAAAAGAAAAGCGCACCTTCTTTTCAATGGCTCAATCATAAGAACTTCAAGATTAATATTGGATGATATTTTTGTTAGCTTTGGCCGTTAATCTCATTTTAATTAATTTTAATCAATTAATTGATTGATGTTATTTTTAATTATTAACAATTTTCAGTATTTTGAACCGTTTTCAATATAACAATTTCAACTAAACTTTACAATCACTCAAATCAGAGCTAAAATGAAGTAATTGCAATTGAGACAATATACGTGATGATGTGACAGCTAAATCAAAATGATGGACAAATCAAAATATGACACTTATAATTTTGGAAAAATAACAAACATGGGGTTTTTCTTATTATTATATTTTTTAAATAAAATTATTTATACATAATATAAATTCAATTCTTGTTTTGAAATTATTATTTATGGTTGCTCTCTCGGAGCTTTCTACTAGCTTCCAATTTTATTTTTATTCATCATATTTTTGAAAGATATTTTTTTAATTGTACGGTGAGAAAATAGTTATGAATGCTCCAAATTGTACATCTACTCCTTACAGAGTTGTGGTGTGTTCCTACCAAATTGAAATACTTGTAGCGGTTTGATTCTGCACCGTTGGAAATGATTGAGTTTACTCTTGAACTCGTAAGGAGAGTGGTGTAGTGGTTGGGCTTTGATCCGTGGAAAGAGTCAGAAGTTCTTTATTCAAATTCCCAAGAGCACTCGGGGAGTAGGGTAGGTCGAGTTTGACCGAACCTATAAAACTACGGTATCATATTTTGTAACTCTTTCCTATTTATTTTCAAAATTATTATTGTGACTTACTTAACTATTTTGTTATATTAATTATCATCTCATCCGGGTTTATAAACAGTTTCATAATTAGAAAAATTAATTACGCTTAAATACTTTTATAGTTAAAACACTGTTCACCCCTCTATTGCCATACCATTCCACAATTTTGAGAATTTTCCTAGGAAGAATATGAGTGGTTGAACGGAAGAGAGGTATTTATAGTAGATGCTAGACATCACGGTCATGCTTGTCCAAAGCATGTTGCTAGTGGTCCTAATCTTGCTTGTCTAGAACATGTTATTCATGGTCGCATGCCCGTTCCAAAACCCATTTATTCGCTTTCATGTGTAGTTAAGTTTTTACTATTCCCGTCAATACAAGAATGGATGACTGTTTGCCAGAATCATGTCTACACCGAAAACGGCCAAAATGCCCCCAAAATGTATTATAGGGAATGTGACTAGTCGTCAATTTTTCTACTCGGGTTATATGCTATCAAAGTTGTGGTGGTAGTTTATTTGCTTTTAACCAATAACATTGTTTTTTTACAATTTGTTTTTAACGCATTTCCTCACTTACGTTTCTATTACATTTTTTCTCAAACGTGACTGAGGCTCGATTATACGTTTAAATTGTCTGTAACTTATAATTTTCGTATGATTAACTTGTTCGCCAACTTAGAACAAGTTCTGCACAATTGTTATCCCACTACCTCAAGAGTATGGTTATGACCTATGATGTCAAAGTTGAATTGGCTCCTTGAATCGTAGTAATCAAACATGTCCTCTGTAAAACAATTGGGCAAATCACAGGCTGATCAATTAGTACAGATCGAATATTAGTTGCTCTATCTTAATGAAGTTCCTGATAGAATGGGGCTTTTGGAGTCTCGCATGGATGAGATTACCGCTAAATCCATTAGGATCGATGAAATACGAGACTGCATTAAGGCAATGTCAAACCGTGAATTAATGTTGGTCTATGAAAACAATTTTCACTCCAGTGGGGTTGAGATGCTAAGACTTTGGAGAATTTTATCATTGACCTCGAACAATACTTTCGAGTTATAAGTACCATGGTACAAGAGGCAAAGGTCATGTTGGCCTTAATGCATCTAGCTGACGATGCAAAGTTGTAGTGGAGATCCAAGTATATGGACATTCAAGATGGTGGATGTACGGTGTACAATTATGAGAGTTTAAAGCAAGAACTCTGCTCATAATTCTTCCTAAAGAATGTCGAGATAATAGCGAGGAAGTTAAGGAAACTGAGGCATAATGAAAATAGCCGATACTATGTTAAGCAGTTTTCTAAGATGTGAGGGAATGTCGCAACCATAGTAAATCACTTCAAAACAAGTTATGTAGGTAATGTGGTCATGTTGCATAGGATGCGAGGGAATGCCACAACCATCACAGGTTTGAAATACAGATTCCAAACTCTAATTTAAATCATGGGCACGAGACATTACAAATGGTATCAAAATAAACATCTCCCAGTAGGATACATTTTAGAGGCGAACTAAAACGGAAGCTGATGGACATGTGACGTCCGAGTAATGGATTGATACAGGAATGAATTGAGACTACAACCATATTTGAATGAGAGCGTTTTTAGAGATATGATGGTTGAGAAAAACTTACAAGAACTTAAGTTAGTATCTATATCAACAAGATGCACGTTTTTTCAGTAGCTCAAGCATAAGAACTTCAAAAGTAAACATATATTACTTAAAACAATTATATTTCGAGTAACATGATGTGAATTTTTCTAAAAAACATATGAGTAAGGATAAACTATGTTGAAAGAATTCATGTTGGTCTATGGAGACAGTTTTCACTCTTGGAAACACTTCAAGTAGGTAGCGTGATCATGTTGTTTGGATCTTGGATTGAAGTTTAAAAGATTTGAATTTTATAAGAATGAAAATATATTAATAAAATATAAAAATATTTAAATTAATAAATGAACTAAGTTGATAGATTAATAGGTTGGGAGGGAGGTAGTGGTAAGGCATGCAAGTTTGTTCCGGAAATTAATGATATATACGAATACTAATGTCTTGTTTTAATTTTGCTTTTGCTTTTTTTTTTTTTTTTTTTTTTTTTTTTTTTTTTTTTTTTTTTTTTTTTTTTTTAATTTCTTTACATCAAATATCTTTAAAAAAAAATCCCCTTTTATTGGTGAAATATTCAAACTAATTTAAAAAATAAATGTGTAATTCACTCCGTACATCTATAATGTCTATATCTTGTTGGTAGCTTTCCTAGTTTCATTAATTCACATTAAAAGAATATAATAAATAAACTTCTTGTAGTCAATTACTTGTATCGATAAACTGGATATTCATTCATTGTCCTCTCTCTTTCTCTCTCTCCCAGGTTGACTTTGTAAATGAAGCTCGCAATTTTTTCTAATTAAAACCGGACACGAAAAGAATTATATGATCTAAAGACCCAGACACGAAAAGAATTATATGATCTAAGGACCCGACAAACCTGGATTATCCAACCCAAATCATAGATATATATATATTAGTTTGATTTAGAGATGAAATTTCAAAAAATTGAAAATTCAAGTCAATTCAAACCTGACTCTACATGCTTCTATGAATATTAAGAATGATTCGAATTTTGTTACCAATGTTAGTGATGTGTTGTGCTGTGTGAATATTTGATATTTGAGTTTTACGTGATTTTAATAGAAAAAAAAGAATTGTAGGGAGAAATCCTCATTTTGAAATTTAATGGAGTAGATTGAAACAAAACCCAATTTGACGAGATTGTTAGTCTTGGATGAATTTTCTTTAAAGGAAAATGGTCGATCGAGAGAAATTTGGCAATTTCATATGTTCCACTTTCACAGAGGTGTGTTAGGTTGTAAACTCAATTCGGATTATGCGAGTCACCAACTCTCAACCAATCCGAAATTTCAGATTGGTCCAAGAACCCTTGGAGCCTTTAGTTTATAAAATGAAAAACTAACCAACAGAATTGAGAGCATAAAGAGATGTATGAGCGTCTGGAACATCATAAGGAACAGAGTTTGGCTGACGTTGGAGCGTTCAGTGGAGCTTAAAGAGAATGGAGAGACATGAGGATGCAGGAAACGGCATATCGTCACTATCAGAACCGAGCAGCTCGAGCTTGAACAATGGCAAGCAGAAAGGAGTGGAGAATAAGAAGGAACAACCCAAATCTGTATCTTTTCTTAAGCTCTTCGCCTTTGCAGATTCATACGATTTCTTACTAATGTCTGTTGGAAGCGTTGGCGGCATAGGGAATGGGGTGGGCATGCCTCTAATGACTCTGCTCTTTGGAGAGCTCATCCAAACGTTTGGAAGCAACCAGGATACCCACAGCATAGTTTCTAAAGTTTCCAAGGTTAAACAAAACTTCTAATCAATCCATTTTACAAGTATGGTATATGATCTTCATTGCCTTATCAACTAATGTATGAATTCAGGTGTGCCTAAAATTTGTGTACTTGGCCGTGGGAGTGGCTGTCGCGGCGTTTCTCCGTAAGTGGATACCAAAATCAAAGTCTAATACATAGGCACATAAATGAAATGGGATGCGTTTAATTAGATAACATACC